ACATATGTAAACTTTTGAACCATATGCATTTTCCGACTCAGCTCGACGAGTATAGTCGAAATATAGCAAAATTTTTTAAAAGTTCTGTCATGAGGACCAATGGAATAGTTAGATTTCTATGAAATCTACTAAAAACAAATTAAAGCTAAATGAACAAAGTATCCGACCCTTATAGTGGTTAAGCTAAAAAATTTTTATCCACGCCCGTAGACCAAAAAAAAAACTAAAAAAATTTTGAAAATTTTTTTGTTGCTGGTTTTTCTACGATTACTCAAAAATTGTGGAGGCTACAAAATTTTAAAATTCTAATCCAAAAACTAGACACTTGGAGCTACAATTTCCTTTTTTTCTGATTTCTTGTACGACCATTTCTCTCGAAGTTTCGGCCTGTTGAAAACTGCCCAAAAATTCGGAATTTTTGTTTGATCCCTTAATTTTTTCCATTAGTGTAGTATAAGACGCAATAGTAGCAATGAGTTCTGCATAAGGCTCCGACACAAAAATTTTGATTAAGCACATGCTATTTACGTTTGTACATTCACATAAAATCAACGAGAATATTGGCGGTTCAAAGAGCTAAAATTTTCAACAAAAAAGATCAATGGATTAATTTTTTTTTCAGGATATTAATTTTGATTCACCTCGGGGTGGTATCAGTCTTGTAACCGAAAAAGGTCGAGAGACGTCGAGTCGTTTGATGATACAAAATGCGGTGCCAGCAGATTCAGGTTTATATACATGCAAACCAAGCAATGCAAATCCTGGTAGCATACGAGTGCATGTGGTAAAAGGTAAGTTTATCCTTTCCAATTTCTTTAGTTTTTCTTTGCGAAAAAGAGAGATAGAGTGAATTGATAAGTTAAGTGTGTTATTCAAATAAATTTATTTACTTAGTAAGATATGTATAGTATATACTATACATATCTTACTAAGTTTACTCAGGACTTAGTTCGGCTGAACACGCTCAATATTTATCTATTATAACTCTATGATTTCGTCGTCACATTCTAATGGTTCAAAAAAATTAAACGTAACACAACACGAAGATTTTTTAGGTCCTAAAATTATATGAACTACTCGTTCTCAATAACGCGCAATGAAACTTGAAGTTTCAACATTTGTTCCATTTCTTTCGGAGGGATGAGCCAAAGCAAAAAGTTTCGAATCTTTCTGAAATAGCAAGTAAGGATGTGTCGTTAAAGTGAATGATCACTGAACTAACGGTAGTATCTCATTAGGTTATAAGTAAGCAAGAATACTCATAACGTTACCAGGATGGTGTATCTTTTTGATATGTAGAAACGCTAAATACACTCTTGAAATATTTTTTTTTTTTTTAAAGAAAAATTCTCTGAAAAATTCAGAGATAATAGACGATAATAACTGGTAATGTTTACTGCCGAAGCTAAAAAAGAGAATAGACCAAAAACCGCTCTTGAATTTCTATCATTATCGTGTTGTTATTCACGATAGTTCTAACCACACGCTATCAGCTAGAATTAATTGATACTAAAAATATTTTAGTCCAGGAATTTACAGTTAGAATCTTTGAGTATTATTAGTTTCTAATCGATGGCGTAAGGTTAGAAAATTTCTTCCTATCTAGAAAGTTGACTTAAATATTTGATAGTCCAAATAAAATACTGATTGGATTTGCTCTTTCAGTAGTACCTGTTTGCAACATCAAGTGCACTTCTTTTGCTGTTGAACTTTTGACCTGCTCAAGTATGAGTGATTCGATCTGCATCGAAGTATTTTCGTAATGAAAATATAAATAAAAAATTAGGAAAACGGTTGACCCCAAAGGCCATCCCCGCAACTTTCCGCTAATTTCATACTTAATCGCTCAAAATGGCACTTATTACGTACCCTTGTAGGAAAAAAATTATATACAACGGGGCCTGTCTGCCTCGACTGGACCTCTATTCAACTGACAAGTCTTGGTTTGTCAGTCTTGAACTAAGACTCAGCCAATATCCAATTAACAAGTCTTAGTTTATTACTCTTGGACCAAGATATAGCCAATGTCTATGTAATAAGACTTGGTTTGCCAGTCTTGAACCAAGACCCAGCCAATATTCAACTGACAAGTATTGGTTTGCTACTCCTGGACCAAGATCTAGCCAATGTCAATGTAACAAGTCTTGGTTTGCTAGTTTTGAACCAAGACCTAGCCAATGTCTATGTAACGAGTCTGGGTTTGCCAGCCTTGGTTCAAGAGTTAACCAATATTTAATTAACAAGGCTTCACAGAAAAAAAAAGTTAACTTGAATCAAGTGAAAAATTCTTGAACCAAAAGAAAATAATTTTGAAAAGTTTTATTGTCTTGAATCAAGACGAAAAATTCTTAAATCAAGTTGAAATTATTTAAACGAAGAAAAATTTCTTGGTTTAAGAATTTTTTTACTTAAATGAAGGAGATGAAGTTCTTCAAAATTATTTACTCGATTCACGTTAATTGTTTTTTCTGTGTTGGCTTATTATCCTTGGCCCAAGGCCCAGACAATATTCAACTGATGTCTTGGTTTGCTACTCCTAGATCAAGATCTAGCCAGTGTCTATGTAACAAGTCTTGGTTTGCTAGTGTTGAACCAAGACCCAGCCAATATCCAATTAACAAGTTTTGGTTGATCAGTCTTTATCCAAGATCTAGCCAATATCTTTGTAACAAGTCTTGCTTGCCAGACTCGGGACAATTAAGAGCCAGCCACTATTGACATTGTTAAAACTGTAAATTTGACAGTTTTTCTGTCATTTTATTGTTGTTTTTTTTTCAAATGCTTAAATTGAAAATTTATTAATTAACAAAAATAATTACATATCGTCAAGATTGATACAGTCTTAAAAAAATTAAAATATAATAATTTACAGTGGAATTTAGTATTGATAATTTTAAATATTAAAATTTATAATAAAATATTAAAAGTATACAGAACGATGTATAAATTCTAAAGTAATATAAGGACTTGACTTTTATATTTTTTTAAATTAATAAACATTTCTAAAAAATGGTTAGTTTTCATCAAAACACAATATTAAATAACATAAATTATGAAAATAATAAACCGTCACACTCTGTCACCATATAGATTTAGCTTCCCTGATAACCACAGTTTCAGACCAACCAAGTTGGTGTCAGATAGTTGCCACCAACTTACCGACAACTTGCGGTCAACTTCCAAATTTGAAACTGTTGGCGTCAAGTTGGCTACAAGTTTCTGAGAAAAACAAGACCAATCTACTGCCGCAATATGTCGCCAAATTTCTCGAGAAACTTGTCGTCAACTTGGTGCGAAAGAGTTTCGAAAACAATTTTTGCCGACAACTTGGCGACAACTTGGTGAACAACCGAGTTCATTTCCAAGACTTGCCGCCAACTTGGTGACAAGTTGCGGCAGCAAATCGACGGAAAGTTGCGACCGGTTTGGCTATCAGGGTTATAAGAATGATGAAATGTAGATCAACTTATCGGTCGTGCGGCGTAGGGGTTAGTTAATGGTCTAGCAAGCGCGCGGCGCGGGTTCGAATCTCGGTTAGGGCAAATGCAATTTTCACTTCATTTCCATAATTAATAAAAGTTAGATCTATGTAAAGTCAAATGATCTAAACTTGCGTTAGTCCTGCATAAAAATTAAAATAAAAAAAAATTCCTTTTTATCACTTTTTATCAAATGGCATGGGCCAGACTTAAATAGTAACTGTGGCCCAGTCTTGGTAACGAGGCATGGGTCAGACTTAAAAATCGGTATTGACTCTCAATACTAAAATTCAGTCTTGGCATAATACTTATTTTCAGTCTTGGCGCAATACTTATTTTCAGTCTTAGCACAATACTGATATTTAGTCTTGGCAGGAAAATATCATTTGTATGCTTAGATGGACTTGGGCCAAGCTTGGATTTCAAGCTTGCCCCAGAGTTAATGAGCATTGCGCCAAGCCTTGGCCAAGCTCGGGCCGATTGTCATTTCCTCTAAGGGTATTTGGCCTTTTCGAGCTCAAAAATATAATTTTCGTGTAATTTTGAGCTCTCCGATCTCAAAAGCCTGATAGAAGTTTAATAAAACCCATTTTTTTGAAATTTTAAACCGCAATAACTTTTGAATGAATGAATCGATTTTCATGCAGTTGGCAGCATTCGACGCAATTTTTTGAGCTTCATGAAGAATCTTTAAGTTTAAATCGATCTAACTAGAAGTATGGGAGTAACTCTGAAAAAACACTTTTTTCTGTTTTCTTTCGACATCGATAACTTATGAACAAATCGACCGATTATCACGCAGTTAGCGGAATTTGACGCAGTTTTTCAAATTCTATAATATACTTTTAAACACAAATTAGACAAGGAAGGACTGCATTAACTAAAGCAGTCTTAACTAATCAATTAGAGACAGTAGACATTACACTAAAAAAAGGGGCGAATATAAATCAGTTAGACGAAACCGGTAAATCAGCTTTATTCTATGCTGTCAAAATGAATCGATATTGTATTGTAAAATACCTGATTCGATATGGAGCAGACGTATTCTATAAAGGGCCAGATGGACACACGTTGTTACACACAACAGTATATTACGGTTTGCAACCCGAAATTAGAAATAGTCGCGATGAAATGGACTACATGTGGGGGCGATGCCAAATTATTAGGTTATTAATTAAAAAGGGAGTAGATATAGACGAAATAATACAACCTTATAATTTAACAGCCATACACATAAGTGCACATCAAGGTTTCGCATCGACCACGCGTACTCTGATACAGTTAGGAGCCGATATCAATATACCCAGTTCTCAAGGTCGCACAGTATTAGATTTTGCACTACATCCAGAATCATACGAAGATATGCCCGGGAATTTTATGCGCACAAAGGAAGACCAATCGGGACGTTTAAATATCGTTTTTGAACGCGACACACTCGATTACTTAGTTCAACATTTTATTAAATTACAGGCGGCCGGGTTACCCGTACTAAATAATTTTCATGAAATTGTTAGTATTCGGATACACCCAGAGATTATGCAAGACTATGAACAAAGATGCGAGACAGAACTGCGCGAATTACAAAATTCTTATATAGGAAAAATTAGTCGATACCAAATCTTGACGATGTCACGGCAAAAGTTAATGAATACTAATAAAACCAGAGTAATTTTGAGAAAATTAAAAAAGGAACAATACATTACACCCTATCGAAAATACGCGCCTTTAATACTAGCTCGAGTACAACAAGTAGAGCAGAGACGGAAGTTATTAGAAAGTGATGGATTAGCTACCATCGTTCAAATTCTAGCAGAACAAGAAATACCCGATTTAATGATAGACCAAATTATCACTTACTTTTCTAATGAAGATTTGATAAAACTTAACGAAAATAATCATAGAATTAATAACTATAAATTGCAGTATTAAAATACTTCTTTTTTCTTTCCTTTTTTTTTTTATATATTCCTATTATTACTTGTCATTAGCATTACCTCTTCTCATGCCCATGTATTCACAGAAACCGGACCAAGTCGACGTTATGAACCATATGGAATAAATACTCAAGTGATTGGACACCAGACATCTGAAACCACGACTCGAATCCACACACAAAAATTAGAATATTTAACCTTGCAAAGGTACCTGCTGGAGTCTCAGTGTTTACAACTTCCAGAAGATCAGCGTTACCTAACAGTGGTATCATTGTTACAAAACTATAGGAACACTGTTGATTTGATCATGGAATCCCTGCAGACAAATAAGATGAGTGCTGAAATGGCAAATAGGTTTGTAAGTATGATACCCGACGGACGTCTTCAAACGGCTATAACATTGACTCAGGTAACATTATACTGTCAAATACGTGACGCCCTTTATCTTTACGAAAAGTTAGGGATAAAGTCCATCTGTATATTAACTTATATTAAACCCGGTACCGAACTTTGGAGTATGCAAAATATCAATAACCTTAGATGCGACAAAATACTTAGTGAATCGAACGAGTCATATTTCCGCCACACCTTGCCAGCAACCGATCGCGTTTTTCGTGACAAATTTTACACTTTGATACGATTCTCACCCGCTGGTATAGAAATGGGACCCTACGGAATACGTATAAACGGGACTATTCCAAAAATTATTGATAAATCAATATATACGCCTTATGAAAAATTAGTAGCAATACAGTATACACGCGAAGTACTGGACGGGTGGATAGTAGACTGTTCAATCTTACGAAGTGGGTTAAATGAACCGCGAATTTATCTGACTCTAAATAACCAAATAGAAGAAAAATATACAGAACAAACTACACACTTCCTAAACACCATAGTATTTAAAAAATATAGTAACCCTACCGACAGCAGCCAATATTACTTAGTTCTCGTAACAAATTTGAAATTTATTTTAAAGGACCCGGCGGAGTTAATATACTTTACTACCGAAAAACTGCAATGGGATAATATAGGATATTACTCGATTTAAAAAAAAAAGAAAAAAGGGGGGGGGGCATTTCAACCATAACTCAGTATTCCAAATGAGGAAAATTTTTTTTTCTCCTTTTCTTCCTTTTCCTTAATTTCCCTCTGTCCCCAGAAAAACTAGTAAACTTCCAAATCTTAAGCAAGCCCTTGGACAATTCGATATGAAATTTTAACTCATAGCACCTATTTAGAAGTGAAACGCACAATTAAAATAAGATGCAAAAATCAAAAATAAGCAATAAATAATTAATATATATATATAATAAAAAAGGGAATGTTACAGATCTAACAAACTTTTTTTGTACTGAAATCTCATACAGTGCTATTGATTAAAGCGATACAATAGAATTACTAAATGTAAATTACAATTAAAATATTATTGTTGATGACCAACTATTGAATTAACCATCTGGCGTAGGCACCTTTCAAGAGTCATAAAGGCTTCGTCATTCGGGAGTGGAGACAAATTCGTATTGTTACGGTTATCCAAGCAATAGGTCCAGGCTTCCTCCAATTCAGGGGGGAGTTGATCAAATATTTCGTCGAGTTTTAGAATAACCAATAAGACCTGGAAAGAATTTCGAGCATGCCGAATAATGCTAATTACATTCGCCAACAGCAATAAGGTCTAAATGATAGAATGATTAATTTGTATTGAATAATAGTTTCTTTATTATATATACATATATAGAATAAAAGGTACTTACGGATGGGGAGAATTCCATCACTGCCATTTGGAAAAAAGTGGTGAAACCACTGTATGAAATTTCAGTCGGATACATTTGTATACTGTCGTAAACTCTTATTCAACCAACAGTAGCTTCATACAATTGACTAAATAAAACTAAGTAAAAAAGCACGTATATATATACTCGAAAACTATGTTGATAAACATCTATTTTATATTAAATATTCTACAACGCTCGTTAGTAAAATAATTAAAAAAATATATATATAACAATAAAAATAAGATACCCAAAAAAAAATTTTGTAAGGGGAAAAACATATCAGTCTTCCAAATCAGTAATCAAGAAAATGGTATTTGAGAAAGTAACATTTCCATTAATTATAGAATATTTTAATTAAACAAAAAGTTTGTACGCACATATATATATATATATATATATATATATATATATATATATATATATATATATATATATAATCCTTATCTCAACGAAATCTTATGTGCCTAGTAAGTATTTTTAACGATCTTCCAAATTCGATGAATGATACCTCAAACAAGCCAACTTAATAGTAATTAAATATATTTAAATATTTAAATTTTTGAGTGAGCCAAAAACTAGTCATTAAAGTATAAATTGCTCCAAAAATAACTTTGCAACAATTACTCCTGCAAATGAAAAATATCCCATTTCATGAATTAATTTTTGCCATGAATAGTACATCTCTAATATAATCAATTACGTTACAATGGGAA